GCAAGGATGTGATACGGTGCTTGAAAGTCACCCATGAAATGCACAACACTGGAGATGCGGAAACCCTTGCCCGAAAATTGACAACTGCCAGACACAAAAATGGGAAAAAATGCAGATGCGATGCATGCACGGAGATGAGGCGATTAGGTTGCCGCGACCCGAACCGATGCTGCAGAAGGGCTAAATCCATGTTAGACTCGCTACTTCCAAAATGGAACCCAATGCTTAGCCAACCAGAAGACTGGGAGGATGAGATGGATGAAATACATCCGCTGGATGAGGACACAGTAGTCTTCAATCCAAAGGTCACTGTGAATGGAACCTTGAGTGATGCCTTCAGAATCTTCACAAAAAGGAACGAGAGTGGGGACACCGCACCTGACACCCGCTTAGAACCAGAGCCAGATGAAGAGGATGTAGTTGCTTACACCGATGGTTCAGCAACAGACAACGGCAAGGAAAATGCGAGAGCAGGAAGTGGCGTGTATTTTGGCGACAATGATATACGTAACATGGAGATACGGATTCCGGATGAACTGGAACAATCTAACCAGATGGCTGAGATCCTGGCAATAAAGGAGTGCTGTGAGACGTGCCCTAGGGACATCCCGCTGACAATCATGAGTGACTCTCTCACGATGATAGAAGGACTCACAAAAAATCGAAGCAGATGGGAAGACGAAGGCTTCATTACAGTCGCAAACGGGCAAGCTATTAGAACCACAGTGGCAAAACTGCGTGAGCGGAAAGCCCCAACATATTTCAAGTGGGTAAAAGGCCACTCAAATATCAAAGGGAATGAAGAAGCAGATGCCTTAGCAAACAATGGACGGCTGAAAGACAAGGCAGACGTACTCGACATGAAAATTCGGGATGATCTTCTCCTCCCGGGTGCGAAACTCAATGTAATGACTCAATCCCTGGCATATAAGACAATCAGACAAGGCAAGATGGAGACCGAGTCCTACCGCGCAGCACTAGACAGAAAAATGACCAATAGAAACATGGCATTCGCCAGGGGGGCCGCGAGTGAGTTCAATAACGAGTCCACCCCAACGAAAGCCATCTGGAAAGGAACAAGGCATAAGGATTTTGGAAGGAACATCAGGTTCTTTTTCTGGATGGCAATACATGGCGGGTATAAAATTGGCGAACATTGGAAAAACATCCCGGACTTTGAAGACTGGGGTATCTGCAAGGAATGCGAGATCACCGAATCCATGGATCATATCCTCACGAAGTGCAACTTCCCAGGACGAGAACTAGTATGGGACCTTGCAAGTGAAATTTGGAGAAAGAAGACTGGGGAAGACATGCGACCGTCCTTCGGTGAGATAGTAGCGTGCGGGGCGATCAAAAAAGGAAGCGCAGGGACGACGCGCCTATACAGAATTCTCCTATCAGAATCAGCGTACCTGATTTGGAAACTGAGAAATGAAAGGGTAATCCGCGAACAAGGCGGCGCGTCACCCCAAGAAATTACAAACAGGTGGAATAAATGCATAAACAATCGTCTGGAACTCGACTGCCTCCTCACAAATAATAGAAAATGGGGAAAAAAGGCTCTACGCAAATCCTTAGTACTTGCTACCTGGAAGGGCACCCTAAGGAACGAAGACAGATATCCTGATGACTGGATCGGGATACCCGGGGTTTTAGTGGGTATGGGTTAACTTACAATGATGGTCGCCTGCGGACCGGAGTAAAATTGACCCTAGCCCCACACAACGCACGGTGGCTCAGGTGCGTGTGCGTTTGCGCATTTCCCCGGGGTGGCTCTCTGTCGGCTGGGTTCTCGTTTTCCCAGCTTCATTCAACGGAAGGAGAAATGCCGACTTGGTCGGTCCAATGATCGGGGGGCGGGTTTCAAGTGAAGTTGGTGTCGCCGGAAACACCCCGTGAGGAAGACGCAAAAGCGTCTCTTTTCGCCTTTACCTAACGTTCCACAAAAAAAAAAAAAAAAAACAAAAAAAAAAAAAGAGAGAGTCGTCACAGAGCGTGACGGACCGTTCTTGGCATTGAACGCCGCTGCGCACGAGTCATGACCGCGCAGTTGCCCGTCAATCGTCGCCTGGACCGTGCCTTCTACTTCGCCATGTTGCTCCACCTTCTCAGTATACTTAGGAGAGTTTTGCAATTTTTTAAAGCTCCAAAAGTTGTCGCGTCGCAACTTCTCGCCGTTTTACGCGCCACCCATTCTCCCCACTAGCCCAATCGGTAATACAGTCCCCGCGTCGCAACTTGGCGGCCTCTTCTCTCTCCTGTGTCCGGAGATTAATTGTTCGCTCCAAACCATGTGGTATCAGGCCACCGTTTGGGACCATCCCCGGTACTGATAAAAAGGCCATCTGCCGCGCATTAACTTACTCGGCCCACCACGACGACAATGCGCGATTTCTGGATCACCCTCGCCTTGCCTCTTGTGTCTGCAGTCACAGTTCCCATCCCTCTGTCGGCTGGAGCTGCCCCTGCACTTTCTAAGAACCTCGTCTCGCTTTCTATTGAACAAGATCGTGGATCGTTTGCCCTCATATATTAAGTGCAACTCCTGACGCAGGAACAGGCTGGCTTGAGTGGTCTGGGAGTGTCACGCGAAATTCTTTCTTCTTCAACTGTCTCGACAATCTCGTTGTGTTGACCGGCGCTAGCCCCACGATCAGAATAGGTGCTGTCTATGCCTTCCTTTTGGACACCAATGACTGAGAAGCATCTAGGCGCCGACTCTGAGGATCATACAAACTTCAGTCCAAATGTACCATTTGTCAACAGGCCTTTCCGCCCCCTACCAACACCGTTCCTTACCCCGAGGCGACAAGCATCGTTGCGGGCCCTGGATTTTACAAGGGTGCCCAATATCTGCCATCTGGTAATAGTATGGTATTGGTCCTACCTGAGCTTCGCTTATCATTCTTGTCCATATATAGGCAGCGGAGTAACGTGGGGTGTTAATTTCGGAGGCATTTTTCCTTTCACACGCGGTAAACGTGTCTAATTGGTGCCTGCTTCCTTTCATAGGAAAGAATTTGACGGTCAGAATCATAAGCACGGCCACGGATGTATCCTGAACTGCTCCCAGGCGGTTTTCCTCGAAACACAGGCCATCGTGGCGGCTTTTGCTTCCCCTGAGGTGCAAAATGCCGGTATTACCCTCGACTTTCTGGAGTGACTATAGCAGTCCTCGTCGCCGTTTCCAGAAGACTGAAACCACACCCCATAGGCTAGGAAATGAAGCTGATTTGTACAAAAATAATGGATTGCGTCCCTCGAATTATAGTGTTTCGCAATACACTGCAGAGTATGTGGTTTTTCCCATCCATTTCTCATTTGCACTAATCCTGAAAGGTGGATCACGTTCGCGACGAACATGTCCAACACCGCTAACCTGGGGAATTCTGACACGAGAATCTGGGGTGGAGCTTTTGCGGAATCCTCACATTTAACGACCGGTTTTTCGCCTCAAGGCATCTTTGCCAACGGTATTCTCAAATCGGAGCCAGGCAAACTTATAGATACCATTTCTCAACACCATTACTCGTCGGTGTCTCAACGTTTTGATTCAAGGCATAGACTCATTTACTTGGATTCAGGGGCTCGTTCTGCACTGGGAGTGGAGGTCTTCTTCAGGATCTGATGACGAAAGCCACCATACGTTCAAATCTTAGCAGTTATTCTGCCGACATTGCAGCTACACAGGCGCAGGGTCTGGACTATGTCTTCGGCGAAACGAACAGCTACTCGTGTAAGCGTGTTGTTGGACTGTAAAAAACTTGAACGATTAATGTGCTGCGATATAGGCCACGTAAGCACATATTCCGATTCCCCAACTCACCAACTGAAGGGCTACAGGGTGCTCCCGGCGTCTCGAATACGGCGGGCGCAGCCCTCTGGACCGTGAGTAAATCGCTCGCCAATGCGCATGCACTTAGTTAATAAAATAATCAGCTGGATTATGCTTTATTTGCGTACGCGAGCAGCGTCGTCACGGTTCTTTTTTCTGACTTTCAGTGCAGATCGCAAATTGGCATATCTAGGGTGTTCTTCCACGAAGGCATTGGATATAAGTATAATTTGATCCAACCTATAACACTTACGCGGTCGACGTTGGATGGGTCAGTACTGGCAAAGCCTTTGCAGCCTCACGTTCAGCCTCAATATTATGCAGCAATCATTGTCGCAGAGGCAATCGGTGACAAACCTGACACCCACGCAGTCGAACTCAGCATCAACGATGCGAGGTTGGTTTTTGAAAAGAACGAAGGTCTTGTTCTGAAAAAGAACTAGGATTTCCGGTTATGCATTCTACGAGGGCAGCACCTTGAAGAGAGCAGTTTTCATCAATTCTCTTGCTTTCCTCACTGGGGCGACGAACAGGACAAGCACTCATCTGGATCTGACATTCAGCGGAACCGGCACCAAGCCGACTTCGTTCTCCGTCAAACGCCTGGTTATCGGGTGAGCCTCGATAGCACCTCTTTGGCTGTCATCGTCATTGACCTCTGCTACAGGCATGCCGATGATGCGTCTGGTTTGAAATATGGTGGCCAAACATACGAAACGAGCGACGCACGCGTTGGGGGCACTGCTACTACCGAGACGGGCATTGTTTCTGCGGGAATCGACATTCCTGCCACCCAAGCCATTTTGATTGCCTTTAATGCTTGAGGTTTTTATTGATGTTAATACGGTCGACTTGGTACACCATAATTTGATGATTTTACGAGCCGAATTGAGATCTAAAATACTGGTCCCATCAGCAGTGAGACGAGGTCAGTCAATCAAACGACCCGAGAGAAAGGAAAAGGTAGAGGACTAGAGGGGAAACCATTATCTATTGGCAGGGAGAAAGAAGGTGGAAGTTTAGGATGTGAGACGGCAGGAGGGCTGAGTATCGTGGGGGTGTGTAAGTTACTTGTATTTAATGAGAAAAATACATGATCATCTCTGTCTACTTGACAGAAAAACATCATGAAAGAGACAAAAACGACTCGAAATATTGGAGATGACCACCGTAGGGGTCGAACCTACAATCTCCTGATTTTCAATTACGCGCAATCGTAGTCAGACGCGATGCCATTTCGCCAGGCGGCCATAGGTGCAGGCTCGTGTGCAGATCTATGGACGGAAAGGACAGTGATGGGCAAATTTCACTTCCTCTTCGTTGTCCCGGTCCGCTCGGTCGATTGAGCTCGACATCGGGAGGGTCGTCGTTTCGCCTTTCTGGGATTCTGGCGTTGATTGATTTGTGCATATGGTGTCTGTGGCTGTGTCCTTCGGATGCAGATCCGGTTTCCTTTGTTGCCGCCATATATAATCTCGGGTCTGTATCGCTTACGTCGTTCTTCACGCTCGAAGACGCGACGCCGATATGTCTCAGTTGAAGCACCGAAGGCGCAAGGACTATCCGTACTTTCTTTCTTACCGAACGCGCTGGTTAGTTGGCCTGTTTCGTTCCGTTCAAACGACGCGCAGGAATTGACCACTGTCCTCCCCCTCCCTTCCACACTCCATACACGTCTTACGCAGGAGCGACAACGACCAGGTCAGCTTGCTCATTTTAATGGTCGCAGGAATTACCTGATGCGGCCCTGTTCAAGTACGCGCATGTCAACAATTCGGTTTTTTATTTCTGGTTCGTGTCACGATACAGTTCTTTCGCATTATTGAATAAACGACCGTGCTCAGGTTCGACTCAATCGTGAACACGTATTTGATTGAGCGGTGCAACCTCGATCCCGCCACGTCCCCGCATATAGGGCTTGTGATTTCTTCGTTTTGTGAGGTAGGTTCTTGTTCACTGCGGGCCGTTCGTATCCACCGGCAGTAATGTCGGGTGAGCAAAGTATCACTCATTGATTATGAATTTCTGCTTCCTCGTCATCTGCACCACAGATATAGCGGGTGGACACGAACCCAGTCTCTTTCCGATACTCACTGATTAATTGATCCAGTTCTTTGCCCCGGTATCGTTTCCGCAGGTCGTGGACCTTGGTTTGCGGGTGAACAAGGTCGGCAACTCGTCCGTCACGTACGAAATCGGGGTATTCACCGAAGGAGGGAACGAACCCGCCGCAGTTGGCGGGTACACGCATGTTTTTGTGGAGCGGGAGGAGAGGAAGAGCGCTCCGATGGCGTCTCAAATCCGAGAGGGATTGAGTAAATTATTGGCTGAAACGCCAAATGCTTCGGCGAAATTATGACAAGGATGTACATCGGATAGAGCGGGATAATTGCCAAACAGACCAATGAAAATGTAAATAAACCACACGAACGTCAGGCATTTGATTGTAACATGAATGAGCGCGCCAACGAATGAAGGGATGCTCGGGATGGTCGTCGCTGTGCAGACGGAGACTTCTTGGGCCGGATGCTGAACTTTCCTCGGCTGTTCCAGCGTCGAATTTGCACCCAGCAACCGGCGGGAATACGAGCCTCGGTGTACGCAAATGACCACGTTGGGTAAACGTGGCCCGTAACGGACACAGTCGCGATAGGTGGATTACAGGACCCGCAGTAGTTGTGCAGATGCACTGAGAACTCTGTTCCTTCCACGACGCCGTGAACGGCGCCCAGCCCAATTCGAAGCATGTTGGGATCCTGGGTAAGGTCCGTCTGGAAAAAGCGCCCGTCCTGGATGAACGGCGAGGCATCGAATAAGGGCTTTTTGACGTTCAGTCCGCCTGCGAAAGGACGCTGGCTCGCACTGATCTTGGAACAAATGTGCTTGAGCATGCCTGCGCATGACACGTTGTGGAGAGACACTTCTCGAGCGGTCTCCAGCAACGCTGTTGTAAATTTCCCCCCCGCTTTTCCCTCCATCGCCTTCTCTCCCGGACTGCACGCAGCGAGTAAGATGTAGCACTCGTTTGTGTTGTAAAATCCAAGATCTCTTGGATAATCCCGCGCGGAGGCGGTCGACCACAGACCAACAAGTAGATCGCGAGGGAGCACCTTCTCCGACGGGGTCCAGCGAGTGCGGGAGCGGTCGCGCAAATTAAGGGGAGACTGGACTGGGGAAAAACACGAGTCTAGAACGACGGTGATGTTGTCTCCCTTTACTGCAGAAAGATCGGCGAGCATGCCATGTAGGGAACGATCTGATATTCCGGCCACTCCGCCGTGGCCGAAATCGTACGAGCATAAAACTTCAGCCGTTCCTGAGACGGATCCTTTGTGGAACCAATTTACGGGCGCGGGGATGGTACTTCCGTGGCCGGCGAAGTAGATGATAATGGCATCGCCGCGCGAGATATTGGGGTTACGAATGAGATGGTTCGAGAAAGACTTCTCGATGTTATCTTTAGTCGCGTCTTTGTCGAATAACACGCAGAGTTGGTCTTTGGGAACTTGTAATTCCTTCAAAAGCCAACGCTGCACGTTTTTCGCGTCCTCGACGCAAGACTCCAGATTCCACAAGGCCCCGGACTTGTATTGGTCTATACCGATAAGTAGGCCGAAAAGTGGGATCGTGGATGGCTAAGATACTAGTTGAGTAGGGTTGATGGTAGTAAATTGAGAAGACTCGCCATTTATCGTAGTGTGAAGAGTAATGAGATGCGAACAGCGAAACCGCAGTTTGTGCTTTTAAACATTGGAAAGGTCTCTCGACAGCCTGGAAACGTTGCAAGAAAACCACGCTTGAGGTATATTCGCTTGACGTCGCTCTTGTCACTTGACGTGCGCCAGCAAGACTGGATTCTATGAAATACACCGCCAGAGGAACGAGGGCGATTTTGCCTCGTACAGTTGACCTCTCTCCATCGTTATAAACAGACCACCACGAATGAACCACGATGCCAACAACAAGATAGAGAGACTAGATCAGTCTGAGCTGAGCGGCGGCACGCTTACACATCGAACGTGGCCAAAGAGAAGTGTAGAGGCGAGTTTTGCGATTGGCGAGCTCGGCGGCGAGCTCCACGGAGAACCCTCCTCGTAGTTCTAAAGTGGGAGGTCCGGTGTTTCATATAGAAGTATTACCGAGAAATATTTTGCAGAGTGGTAATCAGGATCCCGCACATTCCGCTCAGTCGGTGGGCTTTGGGTTGAAGTTGGTGCCAAGTCACGCCACGCGGCGGTCACACATCACATGAGAACGCGGTGTGACTGGGGTCACTCGCACCCACCCTTTGCTCTCTTCCTCGACGACAATCTCTTGTGCAGTAAAGTCTCCCTCGGTACTTCGATTCTGAGCGTCGTTTTCAATGGGTATCAAAGGACTCACTGCGCTTCTCTCCGAGCACGCTCCTGGCGCTATCAAGGAGCACGAAATAAAGACTCTCTTTGGTCGAAAAGTCGCCATCGATGCCTCTATGTCGATATACCAGTTCCTCATTGCCGTCCGACAAAAGGACGGCGAGATGCTCACCAACGACGCTGGGGAGACGACCAGTCATCTTATGGGCTTCTTCTATCGCACGATACGAATCGTAGAGAATGGAATAAAACCCGCGTACGTGTTTGACGGGAAACCACCAGAGATGAAAAAGGGCGTGGTGAGTTCCAGACGCGTCGACCTCTTCCATCGCAAATAACATACTCTTTCAGCTTTCGAAGCGATATGAAAAACGCGCAGAAGCCAAGGAGGAAGGTGAAGAGGCCAAAGAGGTTGGAACTGTCGAGGAAATGGACAAATTTTCGCGACGCACGGTCAAGGTGACCCGCGAGCATAACGAGGAATGCCGGCGGTTACTCAAGCTTATGGGCATTCCTGTCATTGTGGCTCCTTCAGAAGCCGAAGCTCAATGCGCAGAATTGGCACGGGGTGGCAAGGTACGCGTCGCTGCTCAACTTTTAGGAACTCTACTGTACTGACTGAACTGTTCAGGTTTACGCAGCTGGCTCCGAAGACATGGATACCTTGACTTTCTCTGCCCCCATCCTCTTTCGTCATCTTACTTTCTCCGAGGCAAAGAAGCAGCCCATTAGCGAAATTAATCTCAAGGCTGCTCTGGAGGGCTTAGATATGGAGATGAGCCAGGTACGCTTCGAATAAATATCTCTCTTCTGCAAACCAAGTGATTTCTTTCCGTAGTTTATAGACCTATGCATCCTCCTTGGCTGCGACTACCTTGAACCCATCCGAGGCGTTGGCCCCAAATCTGCCTTGAAGCTTATTCGCGAACACGGAGGATTGAAAGGCGTAATAAAACATTTGCGCGGAAAGTACGTTGCAAAATGACCAACAGTTTACGTCGCTGAACCAAGCTCTCAGGGCTGCAGAAAAGGCGGCGGCGGCTGGCCCATCTGACGACGAAGAAGAGGAGGACCCTCCAGCTCCGACTTCGGACGTCGAGAAAGCCTCTGATGACGAGGATGACGAGCCCAAATCGAAACCGAAGCCCAAGAAGAAGGGCAAAGGGAAAGGCAAGGGCGGGATCGTTGTCCCCGAGGAGTGGCCTTGGGAAGACGCCAAGAAAGTGTTTGAAAAACCCGATGTCACGCCCGCCGATGAGGTTGAGGTACGGTTGCATTTACATCTTCGTCTTCCACTATTAAATCCTATGTTATTTAGTTGGAATGGACCAACCCAGATGTGGATGGACTGGTTCAGTTCTTAGTGACTGAAAAGGGATTCAAGTGCGTTATTCCCGAGCACATTCAAGGTTCTTTACGTTGACCTTGATTCAGCGAAGAGCGGGTCCGGAAAGGCGCAGAAAAGCTCACTAAATTTTTGAACAGCAAACAGCAAGGACGGTTGGACGGATTTTTCACGGTGACGCCCAAGGAAAAGAAATCACCTTCAAAAGCCGACGCGAAAGGAAAGGGTAAGGGCAAAGATGCACCGAAGGGCACAAAACGCAAGGTGAGATTGCTCCTCGGCCATTTCTCTCGTCTTTGGAACTGGTGTCATGTTCTTGCACAGGGCGATGATAAAGCTGAAAGCAGCAAGAGCAAAAAGGCAAAGAACAAAAAATAGTTGTCTTGGTCGGTCGATGTATCTATGTAATTTATATGCCTGCAACTGTAGTACTTAATTTCTTGTGAATTTCACAATTCATCACTGATTGTTGGGAGGGATCATCGGAGTTTGAATGATACACGCACTTCGGCATCTCCTTCGACCACAACTTTTTCGGTGGCGGCTGGAT